TTCTGGTGTGCAGTAGAAAAGTAGCTGAAACAGTTATTCTTGAAAGAGTAACTAGGTTGACGGAGTCTAACCTCTCAGTGGCAGACTGGTATTTAATAAAAGGGATGAAGCCACCCACAAGCTGAGAAGAATGGGGTGTGGAGAAGAATGGGATGCTGAGATGAAGCCACCCACAAGCCAAGAGGAATGGGAAGCTGAATTCCAAAAACACCAACAATTTCCAGAACTTAAAATCCTGAATCATGACAGGACACTAAGTGTCATATTCTCATTTTGTTCTTCTTTTGTTCTCTTGGAAAAACAATTTTGATAATATTAAAGTTATAGACCTAGAGAAAAAACTCCCATTTCTTCATTTTTAACATGACTCTAAAGAGCTCTGAGGTGGAAGCTGTGTAAGTGAGCAGCTGGGTACCCAGCAGGGATTCGACAATGACTGCCCGTGAAGTGACAGAGACTGTGTACCATGAGAGACAAGCGCAGTGTAGCTAAGCATCCACTGGGAAAATCCCCACGATGTGATAAACTGAACGTGAGATTTTAGTGAATGCTCTGCCTACAGACTCACAAAGCCCCGGCTATCAGAGCCTATCAAATCTGTTCTTTCTTCTTTCCTTTTGGTAAACCCATACTCTACAGAGCAGAAATAAAATGGAATTTCATGTTCCCCAAAGTTGTGATTACTGCCTTTCATAATTCCATATGTATCATTTTTCATGCCAAAATCACGGCTTCTCTTCCAGAGTGAGGTATAGATCAATTCTCTAGAAAAGTTATGCTGCCCATGGAACATATATTAAAATATAAAGAGAGGGCTGCTAACTGTTTTAACTTAAATATTTGTATGTATAATTTTCAGGTAAGATCAGTTGGTATTAGATAATCAATTGGTATGCTTTTCTCTGGGGAAGACTTTCTCCAGCTTTTAGCAGTTCTTAGTTATGTGTATCTCTTTATCTGGGATTGCTAACACAAACTGTGCAGGTTGTATTTGTGTATTTAGGAATATGTATCTATACATACATGTGCACACACATATATGTAACAACAATTAAAAGAGAGGCTATGAATGTAAAAGTGCAGGAGGCTGAATGGTACCTGGGAAAATGAGTATTAAATATTGATAAAATAAATAAAGCATATAAGCCAATAAATAGAATACTAATAAATAAAACCAAAATAGAGAGTACAATAATATTTTTAGGGCTAAGAATATTTTATCAAACTGTTGTTAACATTTCAAGTTTTTTTCTGTACTTTAACGTCCCAGGAAAAGAATGAGACATCTTTACATACCACTTTAAAGCCAGAGGAAAAATTCATTCTTGGTATTTAGCTAAATAGACTCACCAAAGCTTGTTTATGTTTAATGTTCTTTAACAAGTGGGTATGTTTTGGATAGAAGTACAGTATACATTAGGTTTGGCCTGCTGGGTTAAATCATATCACACTCAAGCAGCA